ACTGATGCCTGGTTCTGTGCACACAGGACTCACTTCCAGTGCTGATTCATTGCTGTTCTCTCCTGCTGTCCAACGTCTTCCTCCTTACTTTCCCTCCTTCATCTGCTTTATTCTTCTCTTTTCTCTTTCTCCTCATCTTCCTTTTATTCACTATATAAGTATATATAACATGAGAATGTGTCAAGAAAATTTGTCAGGTCATTCATTCATTGCTCAAACAGCTATAGTATACTTTACACTGATGATTTTAAAAACACTCAGTGTGACATGAACAGGAACCTAGGCTGTGCTTTGGAAGACACAAATTCTGACTCTGGCTCTGCCACCACTTACTGCAGATTTCACGCCCCTAACCCCACCATCCCTACTGTCCTCCTTCCAGTACTTAATTGCCTCTATAGTCAAGGCCTTCAGTGTGTCTTTCTGTACTCTCAAAGTGGCAAGAGGAAAGCAAACCCATGCATTTGTAATATGGGGTTTCCAATGCAGTGAGGAGCAGGAACCAGGGGATTATAACCTGCAGATTACATTTTAATGATTTTTTTCTCTTCTTCCCATGTCATTCAGATATGATTCGAAGTTGACTGACTAGTAAATATCCCTCAGTTTCTGGTCAGCTATATCACATGCTTAAACAGAGAATATATTATCTTGTTAAGGAAGTACCTCTTTTATTTATATGAACCAAATAAGGTCATTTGCTGTAACAACAACTCCAAGTATTTAAGATACGGAGTTTTAGTTTTTTAATTGACACCCTTTACTTTTAGAGCAGATTTAGGTTTATAGAAAGCTGATTTGGAAGTACAAAGAGTTACCACTTACCCTTTCCCCCTTCCCACCAGCCCCCCTATTATTTACAGCTTGTATTTGTATGCCACAGATGCTGAGTTTTACCAAGGGAAAGTAAATCCTTCCCAGGTGATTTCTCAACCTCAATAGTAACTCACAGCACAGTGATTTTTCCAGTGGGAATGGAGAGGAAAGATAGTGTTCTACTCATAATCATAGAAGAAAATATTATGGATCAATGCCAATCCACGGCTTTGATTAAGAACAGTCATCAAAATCTTAGAAACACCTTTTAAATTAATCAGCTATGTGTAACTCCTGATTATAAAAAAAATCTCTAGGGGACATAGTAGTCCCAGAGTAGAATGCTTCTGTTGAAAATACTCCTAGAGGGAGAGTGTGGTACTTTGTTTTCAGTAAAAAGTCAACTCTTTCTTCCTTAGATGACCCTGAGTGGTCATGTCTGAGAAGATGGCCTTGGTTAAAACTATGTTATATTAATAAAAGATACTAAAAGGTCAGCATTGAAAGATATTCCCATGACTCATTTCTTTGTTTTTTTTTTTTTATTTTTAGAATTGTAGTAAAATCTGCATTACATAATCTTTGCCATTTTAACCATTTTTCAGTATGGGGTTCAGCGGCATTAGGTACATGTGTACTGTTGCACAACCATCACTTCCATCCATCTCTACAAGGCTTCCATCTTCCCAAACAGAAGCTCCTTAGCCATTAAAAAGTAACCCCCCATTCTCCTCATCTCCAGCCCCGACAACTGCCATTCTGCTTTCTGTCTCTATGAATTTGACTACTCTTAGGAAATTCATATAAGTGGAGCCTTAGAGTATTTGTCCTTCTGAGACGGACTTATTTCACTTAACATAATATTTTCCAGGTTCATCTCTAATATGGTATGGGACAGAATTTCCTTCCTCTTTAAGGCTGAAAAACAATCCATTGTATGGGTATCTCATAATTTGTTTACCCATTCATCTGCAGTATACTTGGGCTGCTTCCCTTATTGTCTTTGTTTTGCAACTAGAAAGTTACTCTTCAGCCAGGTATTTTATATGTCATTGAAGAGATATTTTATATATCATTAAAGAGCTCTGACTTCCTTGAATCTTCAAAATCAACATAAAATTTCCAGCCACTAGCTTTCAGCTGCCAGAATTGTCACCAGTTTGTGTTATGGTAGCTGTAGAGATTGAGCACTGTAGGGCTCCAAAATTAGTCAGAGGTAGATTCTGTTTTCAAGAGGTGTCTGGTATAGCTGGGAAAATAAATAGGTTACTCAAATAATATTAATAGTTTCTATGTGAGTAGAGTAAATTGGATGTGGGGTGGAGTGGGCATCAAGAGTAAGATTGGAATGGTTGTCTGGGGAAGACTTTAGAGAATACTGAAACCAGGCTGAGGAGTCTGAAATAGTGATGGACACCTAATGGGAATTAAGGGTTTTTTGTGAACTAATTGAATATAGCATTCTGTATGTTCCAGATATAACAAAGAAGTCAGTTATTATCACTTTCAACATTTAAAAGTATGCTGAAGTGCCTACATATTTAAAGCTCAGTTACATATTTTATTAGAAGTGGAAATAGGGAGCAAAGAATGGTAGAACATATGGTAGTATATCAGAAATGCTATTATGAATAAAATAGTTTTGCGTTGATATTAATATATATTAGCTTATATATATGGCTCAGATATAATCTTTATTAATATCTTGATTAATATTTTAAATAGAAATGTTGATACTCTAGGTTAGGTACCCTAGTCTAAAGTAAAATGGTCAATAATGTGATTGAATTTTCAATAATGAAAATCCACCAATAATGGGAATTGAATAATGGCACATACAGATGATTTGGAAATTGCAGATATGTGCACTTAGCTGAATAACCTCGAGCATGTCCTATACCTTAGTTTTCTCAACTCCAAAATAAGAAGATTGTTCAATCTGTAAGGTATTTCCCAGCTACACCTGTGTGTTTCTGTGATAAATCAAAGATTTCTAATGCTATGGTCCTAATGTTTGCTCTTTAAGTGCATGCCCTATTTTATTAAAAAACAACAGCAACAAAATCCTGGTAAACCCTAAAGGAAAACATCCATTAGATAAAGAAAGACAGAATTATACAGCCCTGTACCCGCTTCCTGTATTGGTAGACTTATTGGTCCTTCTAGCAAGGAGAGGAGGTGTAGCAATTACTTAAAAATAAATAAATAAAGGAGGAAGGAAGGAAGATCAAAGGGAAAGGAGAGAAGCACTTCCTCCCAGAGGTTGTGCCCTCCTATCTTCCACCAGTCTCGTCAGCACCTGACTGGTGGACAGCACCAAATCTCCTCTTAAATTCTCTCCCTTCTAAACTCGGTTCCTGGAGTTCACTGAGAAAGCAGTTTTCATGCATTAAATAAATAAGATGAAAGCAGGGGAGGTCACACAAAGGGCTTCATAGATAATGTTCTAGACCTTAAATTGGGTGCTGGTTTCAAGAATGTCATCTCTCCCTTATGTTTTATATAATAATACCCATTACACAAATTCTTTTGTATCTGTCAACTTTTCCATCATAAAATTAATTAATTAAAATTGTGTATTATATTAACATAAAATGAAGAGACATTTTCATTTAACAGGATCCCTCCTATTCCGGGGCAATAATTAAGAGAAAATTGCCTGTCATTCCTGTCATTCCTAAAGAGTTTCAGTAACAGATCCTCCTCCCTCTATAATGCAAAAAAAAAAAAAAAAAAAAAGATGAGGAAAGCCAGTAAGGTAGTTGTAAAGATCCCATGTGAGTACAAGAATGTGAACAGGAAAATAGCAGGTACTCCTTATTTTTATGGGACTAGAAAGACCACTGGGATATGACAGGTTTGTGAGAAGTTCCATAAAACAGAGGTCAAGAATCTTAAGACAGTGTCAGATGAGCACTCACTCTTAGAGTGAAGCCTGAATCCACTCCCCTATTTTTGTATTAAGTTTATAAATATGTGTCTAAGAACCAGGTTGTCACTGACAGAAAACAAAATCTTAGGCAGACTTTTTTATTGTGTGAAGGTCAAGAATGCTTTAACTGTAGGTTTCACCATTTGCATCTCTGATCTTTGGTTTTTATGCCTGAGGAAAGGTCCAGGGAACCACTAACTGTTCAGACCCTTCTTTTTAGAACTATTGTTTATTTGTCAGTTCACATCCTTTCTTTGTATTTCCACTAGGCAGTCTGACCCATGAAGAAACTTTCTCTGGTTTGGTTACTCTGGATTATCCAGGTTCCCCAATCACATTACTTCACCTCCCCTGGCCTCCCTCTTTCTCCTGCCTACTTTCACATTCATCCCTGGCTTTCAGCACATGTTTATCAAGACCTCTATGTGTCAGTCACTGTTTTGGGCGCTGGGGGTAGAAGAATGAAACCTCATAGCTGTGCCTTGGACTAACTGTACCTTGGACTAATGCAGGTTACAGCATGGTAGGGAGAAGGAAGATATCAAGCAGATAGCTAAAGAAACTGACTTATATATTTTGGACAGAGAAGATGAGGTACTTGAGAAGCAATTAACAGTGTGACCTACTTTAAACTGAGTGATCAAGGAACTCAGCTTTGAGGAGATGGCATGTAAATTGCTACTTGAGGGAGCAAGTAAGTGATGAGAGGACAGAAAGTGGGTATGTGAAACAAGGAAGAATGCCAACAATAGTGGTGGTGCCATGTTCTGGACACATACTGCGGTGTTAACGGAAAAAAGCTAGTTAACTTTCCCACATATGGGATACTCTCTTAGTAAGGTTACTGACATGGATGGAAGTCTGTGGTCTGTTGTTCAATGAACGTATAGTATGGTTCTCCATGTGACTGTCCGTGGTGTCCACCAGGACTCTTCAGGTGCAAGTCCTAGGAAGCCCAATCAGCCCTGCCTTACATTTCTGGAAAGACTGTAGGTGTGGCCACCATTTGGCCCTGCTTTATCATCTGGGGTTCAGTGTTTTATTATTGGGTTCAATGTTCTAGACCAGTGCTGTTCTATAGCCGGGAGCCACACACGCCACTTCAATATGTAACCAACAAAAATTATTTGTGAGATAGTTTACAATCTTTTTTCATACCAAGTGTGTGAAACCCAGTGTGTCTTTAACTTTTCCATCATGTCTCAATTTGTAGGAGTCCCATTTCAAGTGCTCAGTAGCCTTATACATGTGGCTCCTGGGAACCAAGTTGGACAGGTAGGTCAAGGCTTTTCTTAGTCTTCTAATTTTAATACCTAGAGAATAGTTAGATTTAGTCTCCTTAGAACTCTGAACTTCTGTGTATCTTGCTCTCTTCAAGAGTCTTGTTGAACCAACATTGTAACCAGGAAGAAAATGATGTACCAATGGTTTAGGCCCAAATCACATGCTGTACCCCAGAAGTGCACAAGAGGGGTAAGCCCCCCAAACTTAATTTATGGGATAGACATTTGTTATTATAGGCCACTTGGTATTCATTTGTCTGCCCTGGGATGATGTGTTTGGGAATTCTGTTCTCTCCACATGGAGGAAGACAGGAAGGTAGACTGTCAATGAAAATTATGTCTGGGGAGTGATAGTCTAAGGATTTTAAAGGGTACCACTTTTCTGTTTTATGTATTTTCACTTTTTGTTTCTATTATATACTATTTTAATTTTTTTGCTTTTACTGAAGAAGATAAGCTCAGGTTGACCCATTCTAAAAAGGTTAAGGCCAAATGGGGGAATGGTCTAATACAGGGTTGACCAAATGTTTTGGTTTGCCTTGGCTAACTCCTGTTATTATAGTGTAATTATTAATAGAACTCACCTCACCTCCAAAGTATCCCAGCATATGATCAGGGCATATGATCGTACATTCTAATATTTTGAATTTATGATGCATGTTGATAAGGTGAATTCAAACAATTAAAACAGTTCTTGAATTAGTAGGATGGTGTGACAGAAACACCTTCAGGTCCAACAAAAGGCATTCACATCTTGTATTTCTACTTCCTCAGGGAGTGAGGAAATATTAATCAAACCAGAAGGTGGTTCTCTGAAAAGATCACTGAAATTAATAAACATCTAGCCAGACTGACTGACCACTGAGATGGCCTACAAACAGTGCATCCAAGTAAGAGTAAGCACACCCAGGGCTCAGATCTTGCTTTCTAACTGCCATTACCCAGTAAAAGGAACCAGGACTCCCTGGAACAGGAGATTCTAATGCAGGGCAGGAAAAATATTAAATGATCCTGGAGCACCTTGTGGTGTCACCCAGTAAGAAAGTGCTTTTCAGTGACAACAAACAGCAATGGGAGTATGTCAAATACAGGTGTCAATGTGAAAGAACCCTCAGTGTTCAAAGATGGAAAAAGTTAGCTGGGAAATTACTAAGGATGTGTTAAGCTATAACTCAATGAATAAAATAAATATCTGAATCTAGAATGGTAAAAATAAAAGTTGAATAAGCTGGTTATTTAATGGGGAGAAAGGACAGCTCTTCCCTTTGCAAGAATTCCAGTTAATAAATAGAAAGAAATGAGGCAAATAGAAAATCACCATTAGAACACCACAAAATTGCAATCAGGTCACCAAATGAATGCTAAAACTGTGGCTGAAAGTTTAAGGAGAAGCAAGACATTTCCATTATTTCAACATTCATCAATGACAAAGGCAAAAATAATAATTTTCAGTGGTAAAACCTGGCAGACTACCTTAACCAAGGTATCCAGGTTAATATCACCAGTAATAAGACATACTGATATTAGCCCCTTTCCCTGATTGGATGTAGTGAGAAGGACTGTAACTTCTGTGGCATTCTTGCCCCAAATCCATAACCCCAGTCTACTCATAAGTAAACATCAGGCAAACCTAAATTGAGGGATGGTCTGCAAAGTACCTTACTCTTCTAAGGTGCCAAGGGCGTGAAAGTCAAAGAAAGATTGAGGAATCGTCACAGGTCAGTGGAGACCAAGAAGATCAGACAAAGCCAGTGTGGAGTCCTGAATTGAAGTTTGGAACAGAAAAAGGGCAGTAGTGGAAAAACCTGGTAAAATTAGAGGAAAATCTATAGTTTAGATTTAGTAGTACCGTAGTGATATCAATTTCCTGGTTTTGATCATTGTGCTGTGGTTATGTAAACTGTTAACGCTGGGTACAGGATATGTTGGAATTCTTCATTCAGTCTTCACAGCTCTTTGTTAGGTCTAAAATTAATATATATATATATGTATGTATGTATGTATGTATATATATATATATATATATATATATATATATATATATGGTGAAACAATCCTGAAGGAAAGAAGCAAAGGCTCCCTTGTGCTGTAAGAACATAGTGTGGGCATCTTCATGGGGTAAATGAGACTTGAACAAGCTAATTATTTACGAAGATCTTACATGCTACGTTGGTCCCGATGATTCACTATACTCTTGGGGGCAGCGTCTGAGAATTACTGTGATAGGACCACTGGACTTGACTCATTTGAAGACACCCTGCTTTTAGGGACATTCTTTCCATTGTTCTGTATCTTACTTTGGTTATTTTATCCTCTCTCAACTAGGTTTTGGAAGTGATGAGGATCTTAGAATACTTTTAAAACACCTGCTTTTTTCAAAAGCTAATTTTCTTTTTCCCTAAGAAAGATGAATTTTCTTTTTTCTTTCTTTTACTGAGTGTGAACATGAAGGGTACGGGGAGGGTGTGAAAACTTGCAGTTCATCTTCTAATTCCTACTGTTTCTAGCCAATACACCTTTTATTTAAAAACTGTATTTACAGGGATGCTTGATATTCCAGATTTCTTTCTTTTTTTTTTTTTCAATTATGTTTACTAAGGTGACATTGGTTTAAAATGGTATATATTTAGGGGTATAAGTCCACACCTCCTCAAATATATGTTATCACACCATGCCCAGCACCAAAACCCCAATGATCCTTCACCATAGCCTCAATGGACACCCTTCCCACATTGCTTCCCATTCACAACCCTCCCCTTCTGGTGGCCTATTTCTGCAGTCAGATTTCTAGGATTTGTATCATCTGTTCCTTGCTTCTTTCCTTTATATGCTACATGAGTGAAATCATCTTGTATTTGTCTTTCTCCTTCTGACTTATTTCACTTTGCATAATTGCCTCCAGTTCCATCCTTGTGGCTGCAAATAGCAAGATTACATCTTTTTTTCCCATTGGTGAGTCATATTCCATGGTGTATATTTCCATAAATTTATCCACTCACCTGTCATTGGGCACTCAGGTTGTTTCTATAGCTCAGCTATTGTAAATAGCTGTGACATTCCTTGCTGTGAACATAGGAATGCACATATTCCTTTGAATATATGCTTTATATATATTTTCAGGTAGATACCTTTGAGGGGGGATTGCTGGATCATGTGGTGAATACTCCAGTTCTCTTTTGTTTATACTGTGCTGTTTCACACGTTTTGCTCTTTGCTGGGCCTCAGGCATGTTTCTGACCCTAGGTGAATGTGATAAATTACATGTAATTTATGGTATTTATTCATGATCTTTGCTAGTCAGAGCTCTTTTCCAGTCTGATCCTGCTCCTGTAGTTCTTTAGATTCTTTGGAGTTGTGGCTTCAGATACACATTTTAGGAGTTTCCCATGTTTATCCTAGCAGTGGGCTGTCCATCCTTTGCCGTTGCCTATGGGTCCCCAGAAGAGACCACCCCTGTCCTTGCACCCTGTACACTCACATAGAGTTTATCCAGCCAGGAAATGGAAACTGCCTAGAAACCACGTGGTCACATGAGGGGTGCTGCATGCACTGTCCCGATGCATGATAGTCTGTGCCTAGGGTACTCACTCGGATGTGACTGCCATGTTAGTGTCTACCTAGGGTAGGTTTTCTCCCCAGATCTGAGGAGCACCTTTTGTACTGTGACATACTCCTTTTACACTGGAAGCTCCTAACACTGGAGAACCTCACCCCACCCCATGTCTTTTTTTTTTAAAGAAAAGATTTATTTTTTTTTTTTATTTAAAAGACCTGGGGTATAGACCAGAGGTGCGTGTGTGTGTGTGTGTGTGTGTGTGTATATGTGTATGTGTATGTGTGTGTGTGTGTGAGAGAGAGAGAGAGAGAGAGAGAGAGAGAGAAAGAGAGAGAGGATTCACCAGAGACAGAGTGGGGAGCAGAACATGCAGAGCTATTGAAATACACTGCTGAGGGGAGCAGCGGGTGAGTCAGGAGAGCTCTGCTGCACCATGTGGGTCAGCTCCCTGGCTGGGCATCAAACTCTCGCAGAAGTGACTGGTGATAGCTTGATAGTTCTAAGACTTTAACCCCTGCACCACCAGGGAGGCCCACCCCATACCCTGTCTTAATGCTTTCTTGGAAGAAAATTATTATCAACATTGGACTTCCCTGATTCTTGAATGAAAAGTCATCCTGACAAAGCCACATCTTCATCTGTGAGAAAGCAGAGTTGCACTCCAGGAGTCTGGTACTGAGCAGGGTCTTTGCCTCTTTCTGGCAGAGGCAGAAAACCCCTATCCCTGTACCTTTCAACTTTTCTTTGTCAGCACTTAGCCAATTCTGAACATGTTATGATTTTAATATACTAATCTATGCCTGTAACTTTCAGACTCCACCATCTGTTAGAATACCACTGTATGACATCTGTTGGTTTTGTATCCAGACCTGGTAAAACTTTATAGGCCCATAGATTTCTACAGCTGAAACCAGCAGTGGTTTCTCAATAGGATTGTCAGAAATACCTGCAGAGCTTTAAAGATGTATCTATGCCAAGACCTTCCTGTGGGCACTTGAAGACACCTATATTTTCTCAGAGTTCTACAGAGATTTTGAAATGCATCCCCCGCGAAGATCCTCAGGCTGCCAGGGACTTTAACTTACATATTTCTTAGTTTATCTTAATATTTATTTTTTGTGTCCATAAGTTCATGACTATACTCCTGAAAGCACTGATTCTAAACAGGGTCAGGGATTTTTCTCTCCTATCTTAAAATCACCACTGCTGTACAGTCTGTGTGCCTCCTGGCCACATTCACCATCTGCTTGGGGTTGCTGAGGTCCCGGATGGCTCCTCATCTTACATAGGAGGAGCTGGGAGAAAGGTTCAGAACCAGGGTTGGTAGATTTTGTTTGGTGTGCATGTGACTTTAGATACAAAATTATTTATTTTTGGGTAACCAGAAGCAAGGAGGACATTACTTTGGCTGATTTTTTTCTGCGTTGGAAAGCAACCCACCAAATAGGTGGAATGATTGTAAGGGAGTGGGACTTGAATTAGCTCTTTGTTTCTTAGACATGATCCCAGTGCCCATCCTGACCAGTGAAAGCTTCTCTAAGGAAGATAAAAGAAAAGCACCATTAAACTCCATTGACGCTCATCCTGCTCATCCTGCTCAGCATACTGAGAGTTATCTGACCTTCCCTCTAGTG